GGCCATAAATCCAAGGGGGGAAAATGANTTTTGGAGTCTGACAAATCAGATCAATTAAAACCCAGTTTTGGCAGTATGCCATTACTACAAGACTAGTTCAAAATTCCAATCATTCCAATACAAAGAGCAAATATGGTGGATGGTAACTTGATCTATTCCGTCTGAGTGATTAACTGTTTTGAAACAATGTAATTAGCTGCAGTTATTTTAGATTCACATTACGATGAATAAAATAAGCATGCACAAGACAGATTCTGCTCAAGCTATTTTTAAAACAGACAAAATTATTCGTGAATGATCTGTTTTGCAGATTCTTTTATTTTAGTATGCATGAGGAATGTTTAATAACACAGCCTCCATTTCTAATTCCTGAAAGTTTGGGTTAGGCTGTGTAGATTATGAGAAGATGTTATTAAAACTTCTAGTGCACAGTGTTCTCTTATGTATGTGTTCATTCATTTTAGTTCGATTTATCAAGGTTTGTTTTGCTCAAGTGTCGCATATAATGATAAAAAGCAAACAGTAACTAGAGAAAGAAAAAATATCTTGGAACAGTTTACAAAAGAGTCATCATTTAACATCAGTCTCTTTTACTCCATCAAAACTGTAGTGAGCCACATTAGTTAAGGTGATGAATTGTTACTATAGCTTCTTTGTGTTTGAATTCAACACGTCTCCAAAATTATTACTACAAAGCCTGATCCTTACTTGTCATCTTCATCCCTTTCAATTCTGATGTGTGTGTGATCATGAGCTTTTGGAGGAGGTACTGTAATCTCTGAAATGGAAATTTACAAACAGCCATGACACAAATTTGTTTGATGCATGCCATTCCTTCAAACGAACATCACTGCTCACAGATATACCTCTTACTAACTGAGTTCGAGGTCTGTACTGTAAGTCACGGACCGAGTTTTTTCCCCATCGATTTATGGCCCAAGCACGAAGGGCGTGGGCCATAAATCCAAGGGGGGAAAATGAGGATTCGTAACTTACAGTACAGACCGAGAGGACGAGGTTAGTAAGACATTTATTAAATCTCTATGTGCCTGACGGGTTCGGGAACGATTTCTATTCACACGGAATGGCTTCAAATTTCTGACACACCTCAAAAGCAAAACGAGTCAATTTGAAATTGTTTTTAAGTTGTTAGCCACGTTAATACAGAATTTAGAGAACGAGGAAGTTTTAAACTTTTACTTGCTATAAAAGTTAAGAACACTTGGCGATAAATCACCGAACACTTTGACAACAAAAACAACTTTAAATTTTAGTGCGCCATACAAGGGAATATGGCCTGCTAAATTGACCAATCACAATGCGCGTACCAACTGAGAGATACATTGTATAACAAAATACAATACAGGACTACAAACATTCTCTCTTCTCTGGCCAAATCTTGAACTCAAAAATCCTTCTGTAAAGCCAACTTTCCAACTGATATGAAAACAAAATAGCTTTGGAGAAACTTACTCCACAGGTGGTACTACAAGCATGAAAAGGAGATGGTACCTGGGGCTGGTGTGAATGGATCTGTGATTAATTTTGCATCCAAAAGCCCCATAACTCTATGACTAACATTAACCATCTTTGCCAGCTGTAGTCTCTGGGTAGCCTGCAAACACAGATGAATTTTCAACCTGGCTTTGTTTCATGCTGCGGCATGAAACAAAAGCCGGAAATCCATCTGTTTTTGCAGGCTAGTCTCTGGGATACAGACCGAATCTCTCATTTCCCATATAGATAACCAAAATAATGTCCCAAATTTAAAGGAAACTGCTTTTGAGTACATTTTTCATTCTTCTTTTGGTCGATTTTTTTGTTTTGTGTTTCAAAGGGAAATTTTTGTATGTTTGATGCATTTTTGTGGTTGAATCAGTAGAGCTCTTCTTTTAACAGCTTTTTCTGGGGGAGGGAGGGTCAAGTAGGTAATCTGCAAGATTTCGGATTTTAGGTTATTATATGACGCACTGTAGTTGAAATTTGTTTCAATTTCATTTTGAAATGTTTCAAAGTGGTTTGATTTGCATTCTCTTAAAGTTGTGTCATTCATGATCATACAAATCTGAAACTACTGGCCTACAAAATTTCAAACCAGGGCAATCTTAAGCTTACATTGAAAGTGCGAAAGGCTACATTAATTTCATTTATAGCAGAGCTCCGGCGGCCCAAAGGGCCGCCAAGCGGAGCCCCATACTCATATAGGAGAGAAAAGGAAACCCATGAGTTGATTTTCTCATGGTCATCATTGCTAGCGGTATTGCTCGTGGGCGCGTACGCACGACGGCGACGACGACGGAGTCGCGCAACATGGCCGCCATACTCCAAATAATAGGTT